TGTTTAAGTGCCGAGGTGCAAGGAAGGTAGGGCTAGAAGGTACGGCGTACACGTCTCAACAACGTTATGTGGGCATGCACCAAATCCTAGGATCCTTGTTCTGCTGACATTCTCCTCGTGGGATACCTGAGGATAAGCCGACTCTTCCTTACTCACTGATAGCTGCGTGATAAATCAAAGCTTGAAAACCCTTGGCGGCCAGACAGCATCAATCAGTGTGAAATACGGTCACACACTGGATGCCGTGTTTTTCTCAGTGCTAATTCTGCGCTCACCCGAGTGTGTCCAGCCAGATAATTACCCCGATGAAACATTTTAATGGCTGTCACCAATGAGGGGCATATTAGTTTAGTTTAGTTTATTACATGACTGAGCATGTAAGTCGCCATCAGAGCCATATTACTGAACATGCTGGCGGAAAGCTCCATCTCCTTGCACAGAGCGCCACTTCATCCTTGCCGACTTGGATGTATCGTATTAAAAGGGATAAATCGTTGCCTTGATCATTCCCTTTGTGGGATGCGGCACGCATTCTACTTCCATTCAGAATCGTAGTGGCTTATTGAATGCGATGTGGCCTATACAATGACTTGCGGTGGCCAGCCGATGTACAAGTCAGTTGTTATCCTCCCAGACAATTCTGGTAACAGTTTACTGTCCCGGAGGGTGAAAAGCTTGGTTGGCCTGGGCGGGAGCTGACCCGAACCCAGGTCCGCATGAGTGGTAGGCGCACCACTTGCCATACACCACCTCCGTATAGGTGTAGGTATTTATCACTGCGTTGTCTGAAACGTACCCGTGCCCAGTGGGAAGTGCCATGGCTGCCAGGCAAAGTATTGTGGTTAAAGTTAGGCTCGACTCCCGCTCGAACCTATATGTCCACCTTTTTTCGCAAACGACATCTGATTTGAGAAAGGCTACTGGTTTAGCCACCGATCACCCTCGAAGTCGTTGTGTGGCGTTGAAGACTATTCAGGCGTCCTTGCTACGAACCCGAATGCAAGTGAGGTGCTTGGCGCATCCCAAGGGGACTAATCGCCGTCGAGCACTTCATCCTTCTCTCACTGGAGTATTGCTGCGGTTTTGGTGGCTAAGCAGGTTCCAACTCAATTTCGAATCGTGACTCAAACAATTTCAATCATTTCGGACTGGGACATGGAACCACCGTGGCTTGGGGAGCCCGCTCACTAACTC